ATGCGCAGTATTATACGACGATATTGTAGACGGTTTTGTCGAGAAGATATAACAAAAGATATAAGGTTGCGAAAGGACCAGACTCGCAATAGTAGCTCGTAACAATACGCCCACATCGCGCAAAATCCGTGTCCTAGTACTGCAGTCAATTTCATCGGGATTATATCGGTCCTGCCCGCGTCTTAGCGACAAGATTTCCTCAACATCCTTCGGCTGGAATGGACGCTCCGAGAAAGCGTTCCTTTCCATCCGAAACTTTCTACTCGCGTTCGTGACAGGCGTATATAGCAGCAGCAGCAACAGCTCTGACAATCGCACTTAATCTCTTCATCGCCACGATGAAGATTAAATGTTTGTTCGCCGGCGCGGATTTTCGATGCTTCTACTTTGACGTTTGAGTAAGAATTCTGTGTCTCTCGTGTCGCGAGAAAAAGCGAGCTCCAACTAACAGTGATTGTCGAATTACTAAAAGATAATGCGTTAGAAAAAAAATAATATAATATAAAAATTGAAACAAAATAATTTTAAATCTGTGAAATTTTTTTTCTTGTGTAATAAAGTTTTACATTATGCACAAAAATTCTACCGAAAATTTGTAAATCTTGCTTATTCTTGTTCGTTGCGTTTATTCGTACTTTAATATGTTTTACGTCAACTTCGATGTTATTAAATAACAAGTTCGTCAATAATTTTTTCATGATAAATACTTCAAAAATTGAACCAAATTTAAATAGGGATACGTAGTAGACGATCGCGAATGATAAGTGACACACTTATTGTATGGACGCACAGACACACAATCACGAATTTGTAAATGGAATTTCTTGTATAGTCGTGTTTCAACAATTAGTCAATTGAATTCATTCTTATGAAAATATGGTGCAATATAACAAAGTCTATCTTTTTAATCGATTATATAATAAGATAACAAATAAAAAACATGTGTTTGTTACTTACAGAAAAAGCGTTTAAAATTCTAATTAAAAATAAAGTTTAATTGATAAAAAAAGATCAAATTACATGTTCTATGAGAAATTGAAACCATTGTCTTTAAAATTCAATTATTTTTGCTTACAATTCAAAATATAGAAATATCTATTGTCTGTAACATTAGAAATTTGTACCATCATCAAATTGATTCTGCGAACAAAATTTTCAAAATTTTGATAGACCTATATTACAAATCACGACTAATTCATTTGTAATGTCACTTGTTTGAAGACTAGCATAGAAAAGCGTGGACGAAACAATCCCGGCGGACAAATATATATATGCAGAAAATAATTAAAAAAAAAAACGCTCTAGTAATATAGTGACAGTCGCGCAGTCGCGCTTGTTAGTTTGTATGTACGAAAAATCGATCCACGCGATCGATTTCCGAATTCTTTCTCGCGTGCGTTTTATTCTACATTCATCGTGCTCGTTTACTTGCCGATACTGTATTCGTTCGACATACACGCGTTATAATATATGTGTATATACGATTTTTCAATGTGTATATATCGTCGTTTTACGCGCCATTGTGTCGCAGCTAATTCAATAATTCGCGATTACGCACCGCCTTTAGTAATCGATTGCGAAAGTAATCGCGATTACTTTATCATGTTATAATCAACAGTTTGCGTACTTATCGATGATTTCGTACTTCTAACGAATTACGAATAATAATTAGGAAGTATTTTAGGATTGATAAATCTTCGATATAGGGACGACCTTACGAAATTTTTTGGAACTCACATATTTTATGAATATTGAGCGACTTTGTGGAGCGTGGAAATATACCACAATATGGAACTAGAGAAGTACATTATAGAATACTTGACAAAATTTATATTTAAAAGAAAATTCCATGTAATGAACATATTGAAGCATTTTATAAAATTATTGGAGAATTTTATCCACCTAATAATAATTATTATTTATCTACGTAATAATAATAAACTTATATCTACCTAAATTATTGTTTATAAGAAATAAATGCGTGGGCGGGGGAGGTGCAGAGCATCTCCCGCTGCACCCCATCCCAAAAAAATTCTAACCTAACCCAAACCTACTTCCACTTTTTAAATTAAAGTTTGATGTGGATTAGATTAGAATTTTTTGGGAATGCAGAGAAGGGCTCGACTCCTCTCCCGCCCACGCGTTTACTTTTTACTTCTACAAAACAATATTTAAAATAAACACATAAACACATTAACAAAAAAGGGTTACTATCCTCACATCGTCCTATTTTATCAATACAAAAAAAAACAAGGGAACAAGAGCGACAATTTTTTTCAACGGTTTCAGTTTCTACGCCTCAAAATATATAAAATATGTGAGTTTCAAAAAATTATGTGAGGTCGCCCCTATAGCAAAGATTTATCAAAGAATTCTATATCGCGGTATTTTCTATCGAAAAAAAAAACGCTCTAGTAATATAGTGACAGTCGCGCAGTCGCGCTTGTTAGTTTGTATGTACGAAAAATCGATCCACGCGATCGATTTCCGAATTCTTTCTCGCGTGCGTTTTATTCTACATTCATCGTGCTCGTTTACTTGCCGATACTGTATTCGTTCGACATACACGCGTTATAATATATGTGTATATACGATTTTTCAATGTGTATATATCGTCGTTTTACGCGCCATTGTGTCGCAGCTAATTCAATAATTCGCGATTACGCACCGCCTTTAGTAATCGATTGCGAAAGTAATCGCGATTACTTTATCATGTTATAATCAACAGTTTGCGTACTTATCGATGATTTCGTACTTCTAACGAATTACGAATAATAATTAGGAAGTATTTTAGGATTGATAAATCTTCGATATAGGGACGACCTTACGAAATTTTTTGGAACTCACATATTTTATGAATATTGAGCGACTTTGTGGAGCGTGGAAATATACCACAATATGGAACTAGAGAAGTACATTATAGAATACTTGACAAAATTTATATTTAAAAGAAAATTCCATGTAATGAACATATTGAAGCATTTTATAAAATTATTGGAGAATTTTATCCACCTAATAATAATTATTATTTATCTACGTAATAATAATAAACTTATATCTACCTAAATTATTGTTTATAAGAAATAAATGCGTGGGCGGGGGAGGTGCAGAGCATCTCCCGCTGCACCCCATCCCAAAAAAATTCTAACCTAACCCAAACCTACTTCCACTTTTTAAATTAAAGTTTGATGTGGATTAGATTAGAATTTTTTGGGAATGCAGAGAAGGGCTCGACTCCTCTCCCGCCCACGCGTTTACTTTTTACTTCTACAAAACAATATTTAAAATAAACACATAAACACATTAACAAAAAAGGGTTACTATCCTCACATCGTCCTATTTTATCAATACAAAAAAAAACAAGGGAACAAGAGCGACAATTTTTTTCAACGGTTTCAGTTTCTACGCCTCAAAATATATAAAATATGTGAGTTTCAAAAAATTATGTGAGGTCGCCCCTATAGCAAAGATTTATCAAAGAATTCTATATCGCGGTATTTTCTATCGATATCCTTAATTTGGCGAATCAGTAGAACAAATCGATTAATCGAGGTTAGAAGATAACCGTGCACCGTACAAGATTGCGAATGGAGAATATAGTTAAACGAGAACCGTGTACATATATGCATATACAATATGTACGACATATGACACGTACGTATATTTGTATAGTACATGTACATATATTTGATATCGCGAGCGCACGATATATATTCTTCAATTGCCCATAAACGAAGGAAGAAACATTGTCAAACGTTAGCGGAACAAAAAAATAAATCAACGCGATTTTCGTTTCCGCGAAATGTCGTGATTAGGACTTTACTTTATTGTTTATACTTATGCATATTTATTATCCGCAGATAAAAGATGAAAAAAAAATGGCGGCGATACTATGGCGCAATACGAGGAAGCTTATGTCAAGCATAGTTCGGCGTTTCCTTTTTCCCAATGCAAGAGCACCTTTTCTGCGACCTTTTTTCATCCGTGTGTGATTCTATTAAAAATGATTAAAAAACAGAAAAAAACAAAAAATGTGAACGCAAAACACGCTCTCAAGAGTTTTGAGACAAATACTAATGTACTTAAACCATCTGTGAGTCTGCCTCGTCTTTTATAAAGTTCTTGCTATATTCAATCTATCGTATTCAATTCGTATGATATCGTCCCATCATCCAGATAATCCTCTACATTAATATAATAATTAACAGATTGATAAACTGCACAATCCAATTTTTAGTAGAAAAATATAATACATTTTTTTTGCGATAATATGAAATGTTATTTAACATTAATTAATATCTCTTATTGTGTGTGTGGATATATTCCGTAATAATTTAAAAATTCTAAAAAGACGTTAAATGCTATATTTTAAATATTTCATTTATTAAATATTTATATTTTAGAAAATTTATTCGTGTCATTGAAAAAGAGGGCAAAAAGATTAGTTTAATATATAAGACAATCTTTTTATTTCTTTTTCTTTCTTTAGAACAATTCATTACAGTCAGTTCGTTGAAGTTTTATCTACTTTTTGCGGAGTAGAGATAATTTACTGGGAAGCTCATTTACTGCAAAAGAGCCATTTCAGCCATCCATCATATCGGATGACCCGATTCAACAGGTGTCTTTGGTGGGGACACACTCCCCTTCCTTGGTAAAGCTAGTTACTCGATACTCGATACACGCGAGCGCTTGTTCTCGAGATTCGATATCATTCGAGATTTCGCGATCGCGGTCACGTTAGTCAGTGAAACACACGCGTTATAGTCACGGAAATATTTATTGAAATGTTTTCCCTCTCGACAAGAAAGCACACTAGCGAGTGCAAATTAAAAGGCGTAAAGTGATGTCGCCCGTGCAATTTATCGAATTGTAAATTATACACGTGCATTTATATAACCCCACCAACTCTATTAACTTCGCTATAATTGCAAGTATTAGTCGCAAAAATAATTGCGTATTAATTGCACATTTATGACTTTTTAATTATTCTTTGTAGAACTGACCGACAAGCGGAACATTTCACTTTTTTTGTCTCTGGAATTTCAAATAAAAGTAAACTTCGGAGAGAGAAGGAGAAAAACAAAATTAAATATTTTTAATAAACTATCAAAATTGTTACATGCTCTGACAGAACATCAACGAACTGAAAATATTTCCAGTGAATTATAAAGAAATAATAAATGAGAAATGTGTCTTATTCTCTTTGACAAATTTGATTATGCAATTATAGATGATGACGAGCACCTATAAGTGACAACAGGTGATTTTTCAATAATCGAGACATCGACAAGAATCGCCGACACACTCGAACAATTGTTGAACACTCGAATTTCATCATAGAGTCGATCATCGATCACTTGGAGACACGTGGATATCCGAAAGTCTTTACAGAGTAAAGCTGACATTCTCTGAGATTCTCCACGTGTGCAGGTTATGGCAGTGACTCGTCATTGAAAGATATGGAATATTTTGGCAAAAACTGCTGACAGTACGAAAAAAATCTCATTTTGACTACTCAGTGATTCTGTGTGATAGTCTTATGACTTTTACGCTTTTATGTCAAATGTGATCTTTGTTGTTTTACTTTGGTTAAAAAAGATTTTGTTATCTTAACGATACGATAACAAGTATCTGCTTCATATTATCGTATTATTCCTCTGTAAGAGGGTGAATATCAAAACAAATTTTCAAAAGATTTCACTGACAAGTGACTCAAAAAACAACAACCAGAGGCATTCATTATTTTCAAATATAAGCACACATTCTGAAACAAAAGCAAGATGCTGACTCAACGATTAAGCAACCGAAGATTGTTGGTCGATTTCCTCGCACTGATGTTTGGCCTGGGTGCTTGGATCGGTGTGAATGGCATATATGTACAACTACCGCTTATAGTGCACACTGCACCAGAAGAGTGGAGTCTGCCTGCGCACATGGTAATGTTGGTGCAATTCGCCAATTTAGGACCCATACTTTACACTTTGTATATAAAGTAAGTCTCTTCTGTTTTCAGAATGATTATATGACAAGTCTTACACAAATATCTGTTTCAGGTATACTGCTTGGGCATATGATAAATATATTATTTATGCCCTATTGAGCACAGGAACATGCGCCTGTATCGCATTGAGTTGGCTATACAATCATACATCAGTTGTGTTTGGTAAAGAACATTCGACCGCCCTCCTATCACTGATGTTTGTGACTGCCCTCGTTGGATGTACAAGCTCTGTACTCTTCATGCCATACATGAGGAATTACCGTGAGATTTATTTGGTATCTTATCTGGTCGGAGAAGGACTGAGCGGGTTTGTACCGAGCGCAGTTGCTCTAATTCAAGGCGTTGGTAGCAATCAAGTGTGCATCAATGTTACTAAACCAGGATCGACCAATCTAGAGTTCATTCCCAAATCAGATCCGAGATTCTCTACTCAGATATTTTTCATCTTTATCGGTACTTTATTATGTCTGACTTTTCTGTCGTTCTTAGGCTTAAATCTTTTGCCTATAGCACTTGGAGAAAGAGTCAAGCTTCCAAGTAGTATGGAAATGTTACCAACTGATACAACAGCACCACCTAGTTACAAAACTAATTCCGGTTGGAAAATGCCGAAACATACATACTATTATTTATTAATCATGATGGCCATAGTCTGCTTTCTCGGCAATGGTACTTTACCAAGTATACAGTCGTATTCCTGTCTACCATACGGCAGTATCGCATATCATTTGACAGTCACGTTAGCTTCCATAGCTGGTCCATTGGCCATGTCTTTAGGTTTCTTTATTGAAACACCTGCAATTAAACTCCTTAATATTCTTACGGCAATTATTTTAATACTTTCAGGCATCGTTTTATACTTGGCGACGAAATCACCTTATCCTCCCTTCCAACACTCGTGGGTAGGTGAATTTATGGTAGTCGTTTTGTGGATAACTCTTTGCGGTTTAATAGGTTTTGTAAAGATGGGCATTACAACTTTGTATCGGCCCGATCCTGGAAGAGGTCTTTATTACACTGGTGTCGCGACACAAATCGGATCTCTGTTAGGTGCAATAACCACATTCGGTTTGGTCAATTATGCAAAAGTATTTCAATCTTATTCTCCTTGCGCATATCTTATGGAAGATTAATGTAGCCTGTACTTAGTCTTATCAATTATTTGCACAGATAATGGTGATAAAAAAATAGATTATTTTATAATACTTTTTTTAGTTCTACGATGAAAAATGTTTATACATATTGAGAGATATATTATTCAATAGTTACTATATTTACTAACTTATTAGAATTAATTTTCTATAGAAATAGGGATCAAATTTTTTATTAATGCATTTTACAATTTTAATCTCCATATATTTACACACAAGTTATTGTGATTTTTCATTATTAATTGTTGTATAATTGAACAGATGTGAAACGCATATTATATATGCTGCAAAGATGACTTGGATGATGTACATAAAATTCAGTAAAAAGAGCATTAATCAATTATTTTTATAAAAATAAAAATATGTCACGAAACAATACTGCATTTTTATATTAATATTTTAAAATTATATAAATTTCACCATTTTAAAATGCATAAGAACATTGAATTATATTTCTGTAATAATTTTCTCCTCATTACATTAATTTTTTTCTTATTATTTATAATTTGATAGTATAAAATAGATAAAAAGAAAATTCAATGAAGCAATCTCAATTTTTTTAGAATAAATATCTAAGTTAGGTATTTAATATTTGAACACAGTTATATTGAACCTTTTTTTATAGTTAGATCTGTACCAGATTATGCAACATATAGTGCTTAAATTAAACTGGTGTGTAACTTGAATATGTAGTCTTTTATGATCGCATAACTGCTCAGTTTTATCTGATAAATTTTATTGAGCAGATTAAGAACCAGATAGGCAATTTTTTTATTTCCTAACTCTTATTATATCTCCTTCTGACTCTCTGCTCTTAATAAGTTTATGCAGAGCAGAGTTCGTTATCGTTACTTATGTTTGGAAGTACATAACATGTATCTGTGATAGTTTAATGCTTATTAATACATATTTGAATTTGTGTGTTTGAATATCAGTATTGAGTGGTCAATTTATTTCATTCAAAGTATGTCAATAACTATCTTTTTAATTATTGGCGGAACTATATATATATGTAAAGTCAAATACCAATTGTTTCCTATTGTACAGGAATAAATGAAGGGATCAGAAATATATACAATGAGAGATGATTTACAAGTTAACCATTATCTTGGACATGTCAAATGTGGCCGTGCAATCATCCATCTTCTCGTAATCTTGTTTGGTGTATCCACTTGGATCGGCGTCAATGGAATATTCATTGAACTGCCGCTACTTGTCAATATTGCTCCGGAAGGTTGGAATTTACCCGCATACATAGTAATAGTGGCGCAGTCCGCGAATGTGGGTCCTGCGATATATACCTTCCTATGTAAGAAGAAATGCGAATTGAACGAATCGTTGTGCATATTATGCTTACTGTGCTTACAAATTCTCGCAATGGGATTACTGATATTCTTTTACAATAAAACAACTGTCATCGATGGTGAGAAACATAGCCTGATTTTACTTGTCTCGGTATTCTTTAACGCTCTGGTCGGTTGTTTCAGCTCTGTACTGTTCATGCCTTATCTTCGTGACTTCGATGATATTTATATCGTGTCCTACTTCATTGGTGAAGGTTTGAGCGGTGTACTGCCAAGTATAGTAGCATTGATACAAGGTGTAGGAGAATGCTTAGAATGCAATACAACAGAAATAATTTCTCTTAATGCATCCCATGTAAAGTTTCCAGGACAATATTACTTCCTGTGTTTGACTTTTGTACTTGTCTTGTCGCTTGTCGCGTTTATCATTTTACGATATTCTCGGTTTGTACAAAGTAGAAAGAACTTTCATGATCCTAACTTTTTTACACAAACTAAAGTACAATTAGTAGATTATAAGCGACACAACGAGTTTGATAGTAGCACTAATGTCTGGTACATTGATCAGATATTACCAAGAAAAGAAAGCGAAAAAACAAAATGTTTTACATTAAAAAAAGCAAATAATTTGTACGTACTCAAGAAAATTTATTTATACGTCCTAATTGGAATTTGTTGCTTCTTTAGTAATGGATTTCTCCCAAGTATTCAATCTTACTCATGTTTACCATATGGCCATCTTGCTTATCAGTTGTCCATCACTTGTGCCCAATTCGTCAACCCACTTGCATGTTTCTTGACATTCTGGATCAAGGTGTCAAATATAAAGAATATCAATTGTCTATCTCTGGTATGCTTAATCGCTGGATGCTATGTTATATGCATAGCTTTATTGTCTCCTGCTCCACCGTTGCGAAGAACGACAATCGGTGTAGGATTAATTGTTTTGTTCTGGATCATCCTATCGGGAGTCATATCGTATTTAAAGCTCATAATCGTGTCTCTCCTGAAACATATATCTTCTTCAAATAAGGCACTTTTCAATATAGGCATAGTTATGCAAGCGGGCTCGGCGAGCGGTGCAATTATTTCGTTCGTTTTAATTAATTTTACCGATATTTTCAAGATGTATGACTCCTGTTCTGTTTAAAGAGAATGATCAAAAAGCCCTGTATAATAATGCAAGTAATTTTGATATGCGAATTAAAATGCAATAATAAAAATAAATGACTATAGTGTTTTAGAAAAAAATTAAGTGTTTTCATAAGGATACCAATACAGATAAAGATAATGTATTTTTATTTTTAAATAGCCTGAAAAAACGTATCTGTGAATGAAAAACGATATGAAAAATGTTTTATATATATATAAATAATGTCAGTATGATATAATATGTATGTTTTTCATATTAATTTTTTTTTAAATAAAGTATTTAAATTGGTTTATTCAATTAAAATAATGAGAAACTAAGTTTCTATATATAAAAGACTTTCATATATATATGTAGTATATATACAT